GCAGCTAGTACAGATCTTCACCTTACAAAATATATTGGAACTTTTCTCCTTGAAATCACCCGAGGATTCACACCTTGTATTATCGGCACTCAATTAACACTCAATAATATAATGATTACATGAAAAACGAGGCATGTCGAATATTTACATTATAATTTATTAAATACCTATATCATATTTACATACATAAAAACTCAAAAGATAACAATGAGTAAGAATTTATAAATATTCAATATAATGAAAACTTTGGAAACATAACAATAACACTTGAAATAACTAAGAGAAACCACAAAAATGTTACAAATATGTTAAATGCAACTGAATAATTATGATTTAAAGTCCTAGGAACATAAATTACATGCATGACAAGTTCGATCGCCAAGAAGCGAAAAATGTCGATGTCAACTACATGGAACATGGGCTACATTTCGCTAAATTCAGTTGTGAAAGATTTCCATTGTTCACAGATCAGAAGTGGCGAGTCAATAGCCAGAATGAAATCATTAAAACTCATAAAACAAAGTGGAAACCTTGGTGGAGGTGGTGCGCCTCACACACGAAATAAAAGTTTTTTGAGAAATCACCCACTCCCAACCTACTTTCAGTTCACGAAATTTCGGTGGCGAAATGCAAATTTGTCACACCCTATACAAAATTATTGAGCAGTATGAGTAATTGAAAAGTTTCAATTTCATAACCTGGAAACTATAACTTGTCTGAAGAATGAGTTGTCCTCGATATGGATTCGTTTTCAGTACTACTGGAAATTGCATTCACATTTTAAATATGAATGAGAAACTCATAAGGTATTTTATTTTTTCATGTTTGGCTATGACAGGAATCAAATGATTGGTTGAAAAATGAATGCGGCAAATTGATGAGATAAGAAGATAAGGTGATTTCCCATAAATGAAACCATTTTGATAAATAAAAACGCGAGTTGAGAGGAATGGGAATAGGTCGATCTGTAGGTGTTATGGAAGGCAATATATAAGCACAATCATATATGGTCGTCGACTACGTTGATGGGAGTATTTTCGTAAATATTTATTGATCGTTCAGACATCATTCTGTTCAACTTCTACATATTGCCAAACCTGTTGCTTACATGTATCAATTTCCATTAGCCGCATGTTCCTCAGATAGTAAAATGAACATGAAAACACGGAGAAATGGGATAGTCAGCCCGCTTAGATTTTTTCCTCACCTAAATATAATTTTAAAATGGCGATTGTGATTGAGTTGATTCAAGGAAACAAGTAGTGAAAGTTGCTGTCCCGCTGTATATGCCAGTTTGACAGAGTACTTACATTATTGTAGAATAAAAACTGTTTATGAACATCGCTTCTTAGTGAGAGCACACAAGCTAAAATATATAGGTACTTTAGGACTAACTTTAGAATTTCATCAAATAAGGTTCAGCAGAAAATTGGCAAAAAACTATTTGATAAAAAAATGGCTTTGACAGTTTTTAGCATAATGTTCATTGTTCTTTCTTATTATGAAAGTGACTCAATAAGCAGTTGCTCCATTCAATTAGTGAGATGTACAAACGTCTAGAGTATTTGTGTTCGAGGAACCGAACTTTTACGAACGCCAGCTCATAATGATAACATCGCTCAATGAGGGAAACATTATTTTAAAGGACGTAAAATAAGCATAGCTTATAGGCAAGTTAGAGCGAGCGAGGCGAGATACAATACTTTGATCATAACCGTTTCAGACATTATTCTATTGTAACTACGGAATTTATTCAGCGATTTTATGGAAGGCACTGGCAAAGAAATATCGAATGGAGCCCCCCCTGAAATTACCGAAAAATAGTGCATTCACATTACTGCCCGTACAGCTACTTTAACGCTTGCCAGTAGTGCATAGTTTATTTGATTCAGGATTTCACTTCTTCGATCAATATGAAAGAATAGATAGGTTAGTGTGCTATTCAGAACGAGTTTTTCTTTTTTATATATCGAATCATTATCTTCTTGTAATCGTTTTTTTCTCGTTCAGGATTCATCATCCCAAAAAAATGTAAAAGGATAAACAGGTTAGTTGTTTAAAAATAGTGTGAGGGCCACTTTATAAAAAACTTATAATTCACTTATGACAGATGGAACACGGAAATATCATTGGTTATGTTAAGAAAACCATTTAACATTTATGATTTTACATTTTGAAATTCAAGAAGTTGAACACATTCCAACATGAGAAGAAGATGATAAATGACCGAAATGGAATAAGGAGTGTGCATGCAAAAGTAACATCACTATTTTTCCGGCTATTCAAAATATCTTTGGTTGTTATTCCTGAAGATTTTTTTTTTATCTGATTATCATTAGAGTTTTTTATCGCTTGAAGCGCACGAAAGGAAACCCCTACAGTGTTCGAAGAATATCGCGCGCACTTAGGGAGGATAGGGAATTGATGTAGGTACTGGAATTTTTCAGAGTAATTCTTTATGAATCAATTGAGAAATATGGATACTGAACAGTTTTTCAAATACACTAGAATGTCACCTGAGCTATTCAATGATTTGGTTGAACTGTTGCATCCATATTTGGCAAAAGATGAAAATATTCTAGGGGGTGAGCCAATTTCTGTTAAGCAATGAATAGTGGTTATTTCCAAAATAATACGGATATATAAAGGATATATGTGTTTGAATTAATAGAATAAAAAAAATTAATAGATTGATACAGAACATGCACTTTTAGATTTTTAACCACTGTTTCTAACTTACTAACCTTTGAAAAGTTGACTCTTTATAAAAAATCAGATGCCAGTAATGACAGAAGATACTTTTTCTACGGCTATAAGACAAAATTGCTCTTGTTTTACTATGTTCGATAAATGAATGAGATACTTTGTATGTCATCAGTTTTATTTCCGCATCTGATATTATTTCACAAAATCTCATCTTCCACGAAATGTCAGATTTCAATTAATGACAGCTCTGTCTAATAGATGTGCATTACTTAAGAGAAAGTCACATGGCTACAAGCCGAAGAAAACAAAATTTTCGCTGTTATCTGTTATAGCCGTAGCAAAAGTATAGTGTATAACTAATACGGAATGCTAATTTTCCGCTCGTATGATTTTTAGCATGGGTCGATCTGGTGGGAAATGATTATTAATCCGTGCTCGTTAAACAATATACTATATCTTCTTTTTTTATAACAGAATCCACTTATCATGTCTTGGGACTTTAAGTTTCAAGTTTTTATAAAATCATCATTTCCAAATGTCCAATCAATAAAATGAATTAAAGATGTAATCATGTCGAGCGGTCGTTCGTGTAAGTTCCATTCCTCGTAGTGTGAGAGGTTTACAACTCTTGAAGATACATTTCGAGTATTATGTTGGTTATGTATGTACAGGGTGCGCCTCTTAAAATGGAACCCCCCTCAACTCTTTTTTTTTCAGAGATATGAAAAAATGTTGAATGAAAAAGTTTTTGAAACGACCCAAATATTTATTTCGTGAAATTGTTTAATACACAGGGTAATTAGTTTTTCCGGAAGGACATGAGCTTTGATATATTTTCTAACATGTTGATAGAGCCTTTTTTTCTGATTTCAAAAATATATATATATATATATATATGAGTTGTATATTTGGATGAAAAATAGTTGAGTTATTGATGATCACAGTTTACCAAAATAACGCTTTATATAATAATGTAAGTTGAACATAGTGGGCTTTGAAATGTTCATGTATTGTTTGGTCTATGAGAATGTCATAATATTGTTTATTATGAAATTGAAATCGTTCAATCTCAATACAAAATGAATGGACAGTATTTTGTTAAACTTTGATCAACAAAAACTGAATTATTTTCCATTCAAATATGCAATTCATATATATTTTTCAGAAAAAATAGCTCTATCGACATGTCAGAAAATATATAGGGTGTTCCATTTAAAAAATCAAAGTTATTGTAGTTTCCACAAAAACGAATGACCCTGTATGTAAAGCAACTTCTTGAAATAAGAGTTTGGATCGTTTCAAACAGATTTTTATTTGACATTTTCTCACATCTCTGAAAACAAAAGAGTCAAGGAGGGGTTCCATATGAAGAGGCGCACCCTGCACAGAATCTTGATTGTGTATTTCAGTAAAAGTTACTAGCATACTTTGTAACATGGCAAAATTATCACATCATGAATTATAAAAAAACTGAATCTGAGAAAACTTGGAATAGCTTGATGTATTCATCCTCACCCAACCACATTTATGGACAAATGTTGAAGCAAGAAAATAATCATCTTTCTTGCCGCTGTTTCGTCATTTGGGATGCAACCTACCGCGAAATAGTTTGTATTTGAAAATTACTAATTATGTATGTGTGTATGTGTAAGAATATTTGTAGATTGAATACTGATGAATATAGTGAGATGTGAATGAGCAAATCACTGAAGAATCCAAAAATATTACACCATGTGGAAAAACATTCTATAGTTCATGTTTCCGCTCTTGGCGTGTAACATGAAGGAATTTGCAAACTATGGTCTAGCCTTCTATCTCTCTCTTACCCAATGAAATTACCGACTCATAAACTTCGACGTCTGATTGAGAAAACCGGAATAATACCATACAAATGGCAAAATATCGCTGGACATTTACTTAGTTCTTGTGGTGGTGATGATGTATTCGCCCAGAACGGTGATATTACTTTTTTTACAGAATTTTTCTCTCATGTATGGAAACTCCATATAAGATAACAAAAAGTACACCAAGAATTGAAAATTGCATTGTTCATATTGTTGAGCTCATTGATGCAATAGTGAAAAAATCTCAAAATGTTTTCATTTTAGTAATTTTCTACCCAAATAATCAGATGATTTTTTCATCCAAGCATATTACCTACCTCTCAAGACTTATTTTTGTTAATTTTTCTGGTTTTGGATACAAAATTCTCAAAATAAATTCATTCTCAGATATGCATGCAAGAAAAACTATCGAAGATTTTGACGTGGAGTTTCACCAGTAATTGTATTATAGGAATCATGGAAATTTTTTTCGAATATCAAATACATTTTTGTTAGCCATACAAACATTTTCACGCTCTCTTCAAAAAAAAAATAATAGAAACATTTCCAAGATATTTAATAAGATGAAAATTTTGCCAGTGTACTTCAATGAAACTAATCAAATTGTTCCACTAGTACCTTCAATTATTGTCCCTTTTGACATATCACAAACATTGAAGCAACTGCTCATATGAAACCACTAATCAATCATTTTGGCCTCCATGACCAATGGCAGCATCTATTTAGGTAAATTTATGTACGACCGTTTTTCTCAGGACTAAATAATCATCGATACAGGATCTTCGAGGTATTCTTTGAAAGCTTTGAGCCATTCCGCACCTACAGCTCCATCCACAGTCCTGTGATCACAACTCAGTGTTACGTTCAGGAAATCGGATGACTTGAATCTGAAACAAACATAGTTACTTGAATAGCCATTGTAACAGAATTGTAGGACATACGGTCTATCAATAAAATAGAGTGACATCCTATCCAGATTTCCAGATTGTTGTTATGGGAGACGTTATTTACGGCTGCATGAAATTGTTTTCAAAAATCATATTCTCTTTTATGAGATATATTTAGCAGCCTAGGGGTGTGATTGATATACAGATTCATAAGATACTGTCTGCATAACGCAATTGGACCTGGTGTTAGATTGTCAAGTTTAAGAAGAATATAGATTACTTATACATTGGTCTTGTTCTCTGTACTGAGCTTCATTGTGCAAACCCATATTCGTTACACCATAAATACGCCAACAGTAGATAAGAGTAATCAAAGTGGTTCAGAAATACAATACCCTCAGCAGCAAGACTTTGTAAAGTTTTATCGAAAGAAAGGGGGGAAAGTGTAGGTGTGATGTCCTTGCCCAATGGAAGTAAAACTACATCGGCGTAAGAAACATTACAACACCTAATATCTACACACTTCCCCGACTCCGAATTAACCAATGAACCACCTATGAGGATAAATCCAGTGAGGAGAACTCACATGGATTACAAAATGGCCTCAAGGGTGGTTACATATGAGAAAGTAAGATGGGAGATAAAGTCTTTCGCACCATTCAAATCGCCGGGTGTGGATGGTATATTTCCGGCCCTCCTCCAAGAAGGACTGGATGCCATCATACACCTGCTTATGAAGATACTACGATCCTGTCTGGCTCTGGGCTACATACCAGTAGAATGGAGATCGGTCAGGATCGTTTTTATCCCAAAACCAGGGAAAATAGATTATTCCCAGGCCAAAGCGTATCGACCTATCAGTCTGACGTCCTTTCTCATGAAGACATTGGAAAGGCTGATAGATCGACACATCAGAGAAGAGCCGTTGCAAATGAATCCACTGCACGAGCAGCAATTTGCCTACCAAACTGGAAAGTCCACAGACGCAGCTCTCCATCATCTTATTCGAAGGGTGGAGAGAGTGTTAGCTTGTGGACGATCTGCCATGGGGGTCTTCTTAGACATAGAAGGGGCATTTGATAATACGTCATTTGAGTCCATCTGCTCCACTGCGGAAAGGCATGGAACTAACCCAACTTTGATTAGGTGGATTCGGGCCATGCTATCACAGCGAGTAGTAAGAAGCAGAATTAAGTGGGAGTTCTGTGACCGCCAGAGTATCGAGAGGGTGCCCTCAAGGTGGAGTTTTATCATCGCTCCTATGGTGCCTGGTGGTCAATGAGCTCCTCACAACACTCAATGAGTCAGGGATATATGCGCAAGCATATGCAGATGACTTAGTTATTATGGTTCAAGGCCAACCGGTGAATCACCTAGGGAACCCCATGATGGGAGCTCTCAGGAAAGTGGAACAGTGGTGCTCCGCCGGTGGGCTTAGAGTGAATCCTGAAAAAGCGGATCTGGTGTTATTCACCAAGAAACGTAAAATAGGGACACTTCCAGAGGTTTTTCTCTCAGGAAGGTGTCTTCAATACAAAGGCTCAACCAAATATCTTGGAGTCACAATCGACTCCAAGTTGACCTGGAATGAGCATATAGGTAATCGCACCAAGAAGGCTATAGGCTGCTACTGGGCATGCAGAAGAGCCTTCGGGAAAACGTGGGGCCTATCACCTAAGACCCTTCACTGGATATACACGGCAATTATTCGCCCAACACGGGTACGGGTCCATCGTATGGTGGACCAGTACTAAAAAGAGCAAAATCAGACATGAACTGGATAGAGTTCAGCGACTGGCTTGCTTAGGAATGACAGGTGCTATGAGGACAGCGCCTACTAGGGCCCTTGAGGTCCTATACAAGGTCTGCCCCCTCTACATCTGATTGTAGAGCATGAAGCCATGCGCACGGCCTACAGACTCAAAGGTGCAAACCAATAGATCGAAAAGGCAGACTATGGACACTCCCTAATATGGAACAAGGCCGAAGAAAGCTGTCCCAGTCTGCTGATGGTAAGGGACAGCACTCTGCCAGTTCTGAATTTCAATAAAGCTCCGCATGTCATTTTTCCTACAAGAGAGGAATGGACTGGCAATACACCAGGTTTGCTTCCTGCCAACGAATCAATCTGGTTCACGGATGGCTCAAGGTTTGGTGGCGGGTCTGGTGCAGGAGTATATGAAGGAGGAACAGGGAAAGGAATCTCAGTACCTCTTGGCAAATACGCTTCAGTGTTCCAGGCCGAAGTGTTTGCAATTCTGACGTGTGTCCAAGAAAATTTCGGCAGAAGTGGACGTGGACCAGTCACCATATTCTCGGACAGTAAAGCTGCTATTATGGCATTGAGATCCAATAGGATCACAACTAAATTGGTGTCCGAGTGTAGAAGTGCCTTAGAAAATATGGCAAAAACTAGGAAAGTCAGCCTCATGTGGGTTTCAGGACACTCTGGTATCCCGGGGAACGAGGAGGCAGACAGACTAGCCAAGATCGGTTCAGGAACGACACCCATTGGACCAGAACCGATATTGGGAATACCCAATAGTACGGCTATGTCCTTCATGAAGGAAATGCTACAGAGGCAGTTCCTTGAAACATGGCGGGACACACCAAGAATGAGACAATCAAAGCTCCATATAAAGGAACCTTCAAAAAGGCTCACGAGAGAGATCCTGTCACTTAATAGAAGGGATCTCAAGATGGTAGTTGGGCTCTTAACTGGGCACAACCACCTCAACAGGCACCTAGAACTCATAGGGATCAAAGATGATCCCATCTGCAGATGGTGCTTGGAGGATGATGAAACATCATCACACATACTCACTGAATGCCCCGCGCTGGTGCATCAGAGGAAAGCTGCCTTTGGGAGCATTGTACTGCACCCAAAGGATGTGAAAGTGACTCAGCTGAGGAAGCTGCTGAATTTCGTAAAAGAAATCGGCATGCCCAGCTGATTTGATTCACAGGACAAGTGGGCGCACAATGGGCCCGACTGAAGAGGCCTGAGTGCAGGGGTCTACGCACCCGCCCACCTGTGCAGAGAAGAAGAAGAAGAAGAAGAAGTGGTTCAGAATATACCATATTTTTAACCATTAGAGTTTTCATAACTAATAAATAGTATATAACTAATAAATAATAAAATAGGATATTTTATTGATTTGGCCCATTTCATTATAAGGTCATAAAAAAGCACGAACCACAAAGAATTTTGTTCATCTCTTGGAGCGCACGAAAGGAAATAATTTTCGAAGAATACCGTGCGTACCTAGGATAGGAAGAGGAGGTAGGTATTGGAATATTTTGAACTTTTGGAGGTTATAAGTTCTTGGGAAAACTTCGGCATAAGGGGTGAATATCCCTCAGTGGCTCACAACTTGTGAGTATAGGAATGGTGAACCCGAGGTAACCTAGCCGGATATTCATTAAGTGGTGTGGGGAGGACAGAACGCGGGCGCTAGACAGATGAAGCATTTTGGGAACATTTTGCTAACTTTGGGCAAGATGGGACAATTTGTGGACATCTGTGGCAAGTATGGGGCTATTTGTAGATATCTGTCTAGGTGGCCAAGGACTGATCAACGAGGTTCTGGCCACCTAATATGGAAACCCGTGGCGATGGATGAATGGCACCGAGGTTTTGTGTCGCTAACGGAGCCTCTGGGAAACAGGGCGACATCTCAGAGTAAATAGCCTCAGCCCTCTGCAGGTGGCACCACAGGGCTGGACCAAAGCCTTCCTCCGTCACTCGTAGAAGGAAAACGTTTGGCCTTCTTCGTAGACGAGAACAGGGATTGGAAGAGTAATCTTCAGGAGCCTGAAGGAGAAGGGTGTTTCATATTGAAGTGGCCCTTGATAAGAACCATGAGTCGTATATGGTAAAATCGATAACGGCATACAGTGGTGGATAACCGTATAGGCGGAGAGGGCCCCAAAAGGAACTGTTACCATCAATGAGTACGTTTATTAAATTTCTGAAATAAGTGAAAATGGGGGATCGTGCAGACATTTATAAACTTTTTATTGAGGACTTACAGCGAGGCTTACAGTCTATATTTCGGAACCTAGGAACCTTTCCAATTTTTTTTGTCTATGCCCATATGTAATGCCATGCAGCGATGAACCATTTTTTTCCTTACTGAAGAGGGTTAAGAACTAAGAACAAAAAGCAGTTGTTCAGGAATTACTATGATAAACTTTTCAGTCATAATGCTTCTTTAGCAGCACGCAGCCATTTCATGTCATTGTATACTTCCTTTGCACCTAAAGTAGAGCCAAAAAACTATTTACTGCTAAAGTTACCCAAATTAGGATTGAAATTCACTTTCAACAACATTTCATACTCAATCGACCCAAACAGCATTCGTACAATTTTTAACAGAAATGAGAATGAAACACTATTACATATACTGTTCGAGTGTCCTATTTACAACATAATGAAACCAAAAGTTGATTGTCTAACGGGTCTCCAATTACTTGCGTCAATGCTAGTAGATATAAATATGGAAAATGCTAAAATAATTTGTAGTTACGTTTCATTTATCATTTATTTTGAATGAATAACGATAAACTAAATTATGTCTCCTGTCAATATTAGTATAGGTACACGCTTTAAGGGTCACTGTAAACTAAAATTTATGTACGCAACCAAACCCTTGCTGTAACTTTTTGTTTATTATTATTATTTGAGAAATAGTTTGTCCCAAGTATGAATGCTTTGCCGATTTTATTCATCGAATCAGAATCAGTTAACGGAATCCATTATAATTCTTTGATAGATACATTTGACAAATTCAAAGCAAGAAAAGTTTCTTTTGTGAACTAAAGAAAGTATTTTTCATTTGGTTATTTTCATTGTACAAATCGTTCTTTTTTATTGTTACTCATATTGCATTCCATCCAAAAATGTGGTTCATTTGGAAAATTATCATATTAAGCTGGTCGTATTTGAAATTGATTGATATACCTATTTCTTGTACCTATTGATTGTTCCTATTATGATGAATTGTTCCTATTATGATACATCCTTCTTGTACCTGGTGAGGTCCCTGGAGTCAGACCCATATGATGTCCATAAAGGATTTCAACCACCTCGACAAAATAAGGGGGTGAATACATTACCACCTAAAAGATATATTGTGCCCCCTCTTTTGCTATACCCAACGAGGTTGTTCTCCTTAGCTATAGCAATTTCCCTTGTCACATTCTGTAAGTATGTGGATAGAAGTTTCCTCCTCTTCCCTACAAAACCTGCAATTATCTTCCAAAGATACCCTTTCAACCGGCAGTGCCCTGTTAGGACTGTCATTAGTATATTATGAAGTTTATTTCTACTAAGGCTGACTTATGCGTTCGTTCTTTTGTACAGAGTATATTCTGCTGAACATTGGTACAAACTACTCATATGAAATCAATGTCCACATTATCAACATTAGTTCTAATAATTGTACATTCAACTCAACAACCCTTGCTATAAAATCTTCAGAATTCTCTTCTGAATTTGAAACGGGCACACAAAATAAAATAAAATCAGTGCATTGTTCATTTTCCCGCATACACTGTTATTATTATGAATAGTATTTATAAAACTAGCTCCTGCACTTATTCATTTATTGATTCATTTGATTTATTAATATTTGCTAATAATGTTCCTTTTGTTCCCCGTTATAAACATGTATATTGTTTCTAGGAAATAATAAAGATTAAATGGTAACTTGGTATTATAAAATGATTTGATGAATACCATGTAATGTATAAACAAGTACGAGTAAACCCATTAGAACCTTACGGTCGAGCATGGGTTATCTTTATATCATTGTTTACAAGTACATGAACATTCAAGGAATGATCACTTCTTGTTCAGGCGGTAACTATAACAATGAAATAGTATGGTGAAAATAACTCAAATAAAAATAATATAATTAAATAAAATGATGGTTACAGTGACAATAATTGCAATGACATCAATAGACAACAATCCAAGTGAATTAAGTGATAGAATTATTAAAAAAATACAAAACAAAATGTATAGGACGATAACAGTTTCTGATCGTTCATTTCAGTAAGTACAGAATTTAGACTCAATCCATGAGTTTTCTGACCTCTGTTCTAGGTAGATGAAGTACGAAGGTTTTGAATATTTTTTCACCAAATTCACTGAGTTCATGGTTCTCAAATGAAGCTTGTACCTATCAGGCAATCCATTAAATAGTTTCGATAACAAATATAAGTAGTATTTTTGGCTAATAGTTTTATTAACTGACGGTATTTTGAGGTTATCTTTCAATTTATTACGCGTCGGATAATAAAATTGTGATGGACTCTCTCAAGAAGTTTTCTATTATTGTATAGATATACTATCATATTATACAAATATATCGGTCTTATATCCATTACACGTGCCTCCAAAAACAGTTTATCCGATGAACATGTAATCTTTTTAAAGCTCATTATTTTCAATATCCTCTTTTGTAAAACGTCCAATTGTCTCAGGTGATTGATTATAGGCTACTCAACCCCAACTTAGGATTCCGTATTGTAGTCGTGATTGTACTAGTGAATAATAAATTGTTTTCAAGTGAGCGAATTTCAGAATAATACGTAGGAATTTGAACCTTGGTAGTACACATCTAATAGTTTTACATAAATAAATAATAATAATAAATCCCACAAATAATAAAATGTTTTTGTTCATCGAGCCTCGTGATCCTATATCATCCAGAAATCATCTCAAATACATCATAAAAAACAGAACTCACCCTTTATCAGAACCGGAATCGGCCACCAACTTTTTCGTAGTAGTCCCCACCGCAAGTATACAACTCTGAGGCGGATTGATGACAGCAGAAAAATTCGTAACGCCGAACATGCCCAAATTAGACACGCTGATCGTGCCGCCTTGGAACTCGTGCGGCTGGAGTTTCCCGTCCCGCGCCTTGGCCGCCAACGCTTTCACCATCTTGTTGATTTCGACCACGCCTTTGCGCTCCGCCTCGAAAACGATCGGCGTTATGAGGCCCTTGTCGGTCGATACGGCGACGCTGACGTCGACGTTACGGTACCGGCGGATGTAGGAGTCTTGCCATGAGGAGTTAGCTTCAGGTACCTGAGGAAAAATTTGTTGATGGGCGGCAGGCAGATAACTTAATGCATCTAAAAAAAAAAACATTAATTTCCCCAGATGTTTCATGATTTTCTCTACTTGTTTCTACAAATAAAACTATGAGTATAATCACAGCATAAGCACAGCCAGCTCTATAACAAGCCGCGGTGAGATAAATGCAACACCGCATGGCCGTGATCCGGCAGTTCTACTCTCGACTGGCTGCCACGGCGACATAGGCAGACACGTGTACGTTACCGCTATCCGCACTGACGTAACATCATTTTCTGTCTTCGAAATGAATGATTGTACTTTAATAAAAAAAAAATAGCAAGAGATAATAGGTCAGGTCACAGATCAGTATTCAGTTTCATGGATAAAATAATAAACAACTGGCAAGTCCCATTTTACATCAACCATTCAAGTTATTGCTTGGAGAAAAATTCAAGTTGGAAGATAGTTGTAGTAAGTATCGTTTGTTAGGTGAAATTAAAGAAAAACCTACAGTTCCTCCAGTTCATACACAGAGTGAGAAGTGGTGTATAACATAAAAGGCATAAGTATTGTTGCCGACGAATATCTATTTTTTAAATGTGTACTTATTTCAATTGATCAACCAAATTTCCAGACTTCTAGAATGAAGTAAGCTTTTTTCACAAGATACTTTTTCCAGATATATCAAACTTCTCTCTAGTCATCAAATGAGCTTATTTTATCTTAGCTGTTTGTGTATCTTGCTAGAATATATTATATTATATTATATTCTGAAGTTGTGACCACCTTCTCAATTTCATATCATAGGGAAAAATCCATTTCGAATCATTGAATCCCAATTTATTAACGCCTAGTAAAACTTGGACCTGCATTTCATTCAATACTACCACTTGGGAAGTTAATTTCAATACATCTGACTGTGAACCTATTCAATAAATATGGATTTTACTTTCTGTCTTAAGGACTTTCCAATCCCAACAACTATCAATTTTCATTTTTCTTACATATTCTCTGCTCGTAATTGAGAATTAGATCGGATTTTTCAAAATCAACTATTTTTTATTTTGAACAGATAAACATTCCTGACGTCTGTGACGTAACTTCACAGAATAGAAATTATGGTCCCAATGCTCGACAGCTCATGAGTCAGGCGAGTGGTCGTGGATTCAACTAAGTCAAGTTTTAATTTATTATTTCAATTTCATGAACAATCAAAACAAGATAGTGTGGGCGCCACCCAGTATAAACTGGGAAAGGAGTAGGGAGGGGACAAAACAAAAATATCAATGCAACAGGAGTTGTTCCGGAACCATGCATATAATAAATAGATACTCAGCAGTAATAGTTACACTTGCTTTACAATAGTATCAGTATTTAAGTGAAATTTAAATGGGAACCATCACCCAGCCTACAATATTACTAGTACTTATCTCTGAATTTATTAGTGAGCTTATGAATAATTGCAACAGTTGTTCCTTGAACAATCTGACTTTAGTCAATGTTGGTTAGTATTACTAGAAATCTTAAATTAAGCCTCACTGTGGCTTTCCAGTGGCAAATGAAATGAATAAATGTCCTAAAGGTGTGTTATGAATTTAGAAAAAGATACAAGGCCCTATGAAATGAACTATCAGCGCTGATATTCCGTTTCTCACAAAAGGAGAGAGTAATATTGAACTTGAAATATCATAAATACTAATCAGACGTGGAGGCTCCTCTTCTCATCACGTTGACGATTGAAATTTTTATGAAAAATCTACTTACAGTAGGTAAGTCACCAGTCTTACTGTAATGTAGCCACTACCAAATATTTCCAGAAAATTACAGTGGTTTTATTGAAATTTCCATAATCCATTAGTCCTGGGTACCTGCTCAGCATTGGTTCAGGAAAACATACAAGGTGAACATTATTTTATTCACCGACATCCATCACGGAGATACAAAATCCGGAGGAATCCAGTTGGAGAGACAAAATGTATTAATAAATATAATACATGGTTCAGGAAAATTAGGCAGCCGCCTTTAAATAGCACATGAAGATTTCATGGCGTTACCATGTGACAAAAAAAAAGGTGAAGGTTGAAGGCCTGAAATGAAATCATTATGATAGTGTTTTCAAGACATTCCGATATGATTCGATACATAATTTATTATAATTTTGAAAATAAATATATCAGTAACTTGCCTAGAGTTGTAAATCGGCCTTCATCATAAATGGACGTGCCTTTTGAAAACAATAATTTTCAGCTCAAAAGGTGGCATGCTAACACAGCAAAGCGCCATTAGAGAGAGAACGTTTCATTCCTCCACTACTCGATCCTCTCAAAGAATCCCTATTACAATAGGCTACAAGTTGTAATTGACATTTCGGAACCGCGTTCCGTTTCAGGTTATCGAGTGTGGTGTGAACTAGGCTGAGTGCTTGAAGAGCGCGCAGAGTTCACTATTGCCAATGATTAATTAGGTAAAAGTAATTTTTACGCTGAGGCCGTGCAAATTTAAAACGAAGAATCAGGATTGAGGTTAATGGCTCAGTCAGCTGATCGCGAGTATTGTATTGTTTACCTGTTTACCAAAAATAAACATGGACTTGAAAACACATCATGAAATGAAATCCTTTACAGGTGGCATCTGGATATTAAATACGTGCTGATACAGTGTGAAGGACGTCCAACGCGAATAGGAATTTATTTACTAAGGTACTGACTTTGGGTTTTTCTCTATGGTACTGATAATATTTGGTTATTGAAAACAGTTATATTTTGTTCTTGGTGATTGTGTTGATGAAAAATACTTGTTTGGTAGCATATTGTGAGTGGAATACTTCTGTAATGGACAGGTAGACATGAATAGTCTACTGGACCGTTACACATCTTTCATCAGGATTTGTTCTTATTGGGGTATTAGGTCAAGAAAGATAACTTGGTAAATTTGGAAAAATAGAGGGAACTGATGTTTTAACTAACTGTGGATATCTTAGAAAATGTTTCCAAATTGATCCGACTGTTTCAACGAAATGAATTGGACACACTGCGGAATGTTGAGATGGGGACCAATTTTAACGAGGTATCGAAGATATCCACTTTTTTGCAGTTCTTCATTTAAGGAAATATAAAAATCGAAACAACTTTTTGTTCCGATGCGTAATTCGACTTACTGTCAAACAGCAATTATTTGGCATCTCCGCATGAAAAAGGTTGGAATTACTTATTTGATTTCAGAAATGAGACAACAAAAAACATAACCTCAATTCAAAAACAATTTTCGATGAGACTTTTTCACACACACAAACACTCCTTCACTTATAACTCGATCACTAAAATATTCCTTACATTTTTCACTGGCTTTCAACAATATTTCACATTGATAACACATCAATTCACTCTTGAAAACTAAAAACAATCACTCTGTTACATCCAGAACCCATATATCGTATTCGTGCACATGGCTGGAGGTAGACCTTCTGAACAGTGTTGCCAGACTGGGCTCACCACTGCTTTTCTCTTTAAAGATGGCTATGGCATAAGGATAAACAGCAGCGTCACTCCGTTGAAATACCTCAGTACGCGCATGACATCCCGCGTTGTGTCACCGTTCAACGAGCAAAGCAGTGGTTCAAGGTCAGATTCTTCAACCCTTATGCTGTGGTATTATTGAAATATACTTCATGTTGAAAGGACAAATCAGATGCTCTGCCTCAAAATGTCACTACGTTTGAAAATGTCTTCACTACGTTTAAAAATGTCTCTATCAAGTGAGCCTATAAGAAAAAATCAACATTGTTCAAACAAGGTGCCACCGACGGATTGAATTTCTCTTTTAGGTGTTTAATAGTGAAATTTTGAGCGCAATGACATTTTGGGGCAAATCATCTGATTCATCCTCACAAATATAATACAAACCCTAGATATGCACCGTAAATGTAAGAATGGGCAACGCTTAGTTGGGAACGAACAGAGCGGTGGTGATCTGCTGTACGCATCTATTCCTTATAACGCCGCGTATTTCACCGACTCCGATATTAATATTTGGTCAACGAACCAGCACAGCCGATTAGCCGCCGGTCTATTAGATCCCATCGTAGCGTTGCCAATTTTTACACAAGCGTTGACTATCTAGTCTAGTGTATTCATCATCTTTGGTCCTCTCAACATGTATATTGAAATAATACTAATATTTTCATTAGCAGAAACAAGGAGAGATATTATCAAACAAAATTAGAAAATTAATATTCCACATCCTCAATTGACCTACAGACAGTATTTATAAAGTATTTTTCATTTCAAGTGGCATAGTACCACATCTTATTATGCATTGATTTTTAGATTCAACTCTTCCATAGCCTTCTATGGAAAATAAGTGTGACCCCAAGGAAGATAAAAGCATATTAGGCATTTTTAAATGAAAAAAAAAAACAAATGCCTCTATCGATTTAGGACATCTGGGAACTACAAATCTCAAGTTTCAATAACCCTGGTAGCTGAAATAGAACATATTATGGTGTGTCATTTGAAATAACGAAGTTGACAAATTTCACCATATTTTATTGTCACCCTGTAGATTTTTTTATATAAAGTCATCGATGTCATTATAGCTCGAAACTTCAAGTGAACAGTAAAAAATATTGCAGAGGTTAAATACCAATCACTGAGGTAAATATGAATTAGACTTATACCAGTCAATCAAACAAATTTTCAAATATTTTAAAAGCAGTAAAAATTCCGATTGACTTTTGCCTGAGAGTTTTATGTTACCAACCATAAAAGTATAGTTATTTGTTTTACTAGGCAGGAAAGTAGTAGATTTACTGCCGCGTCTGATAGTTCATAGCCGAGCGTAATGTTATAAAACCATTTTTTTATTGAAAACTCCATCATTTTGTGTTCACCCAATGTCAGTGCCCATTTTGATCAACAATTTCATTGAAATTACTTGGAACGTTGCATAGCAACAAACTTTTTCTGCCTAGGCACAGAAAGTACACCTTTCCTGCCTGTTAAGTGTCAGAGAAAGGCCACTTTCTATGTGTGAGATCTAAAAGCTCTGTATTGTGTGTCATTGATTATCATTTGTATAAGAAATAGCTTTTTGGGACTAGTTAATGTGGGATTGTCTTCTGAGATCATCTACCTATAAACCCTGGTATTTCAGGAAAGTTGTTCCTGCTTCGCGGCTGCGTGCGCAACTTTTCCATTCGTGCGTAATATGCTATTTACAACACGCATTACGTACTATACTTTACCTACGGCCATATAATAGTCTTTCAAAACAGTTCGTTTGTAATATTTTTGTTCATGACAGTTGCGATGTCAAACGCTGTTGACGGCGATTACGCGATCATGACATACTGTATTTCGTGTGTTCTTGCCTACTTTCCATAGTGGCCGTAGGTAAATGTAATTATTAACCTATTTAGAATGGTATAATTTTGGAATTAAAGTGTGATATGATATTTCTTTAAATTATTTGACATTTGTCTAGTTCACTGTCAGGTATTTGATGTCAGGTATTTCAGATACGATCGGATTTTCAATAAAAACCCACAACGAAGAGTTTCCTGTATCTCTTCATTACCCTAATTTGTGCTTTATGCAGTGAGCATATTTCATAATTCACCCGACTTGTCCAACTTCTTGTCATGATAGAAGCTAATTAGATACGCATTTGGTTTCATAATAACATAATCACAAGAGCACAACAGAAAAATTTCTCAATTAGACACTATTACTAATACAGCTCTACTCAAGTATTATATCAACAAGCATACGTTTTTTTAAGAACAATTCCAAAATTGAGTAAGATGGTTATTGACTTCTTGTTGTCATAATGGAAGCTATTTCGATACGCATTTGATTTCATAATGACCTAATCAAAGACGCACAACCGAATAGGTACTCACTTCGAGACTAGCCTGCGCCACGGCCTTTATAATGCAATGGATGCTCAACTTCACCTCGGTCTCCTCCAACCTCCTGTTTCTCGCACACCACCAGCCTCTTAAAATCCCCAGAAGTTAAAAAACGAATCCATACCTACCTCCCTAGGTACGCACGATGTTCCTCGAATATCATAGGAAATTCCCTTTCGTAGGCTCCAAGGCATAAAAAACGTATTGATCTCGGCCGTCTCATGATAATGCAGAATGGTCAGCTTGGACTGCAGCAGCCTCTTGGCGATGGTCATAATGACCAGATCAAAGACGCACAACGAGAAAAAGCCACTGGGTACTCACTTGACACTAGCCTGCGCCACGGCCTTGATGATGAAATCGGTGACGTTCAACTTCATCCTGGCCTTCTCCAACATCTTGTTGTCATAATAGAACTTGTTTTGATACGCATTTGGGTTTCATAATAACTTGATCAAAGACGCACAACCGAATAGGTATTCAATTTGAGACTAGCCTGCGCCACTGCCTTGATGATGAAATCGTTGACGATCAACTTCATCCTGGAATTCTCCAACATCTTCTTGTCGTAATAGAACTTGTTTTCATACGCATTTGGGTTTCATAATGACCTAATCAAATACTGACAACAGAAAAAAACTAGCTGGATTCTCGCTTCCAGACCAGCTTGCACCACGGTCGCGATGATGGAGTCGATGACGCTCTTTTTTTTTTCAAATCTTCATATAGTACATACCAGTTTTTTATGAAATTTGTAAGATAGTTCCAGATCAGCACGTGATGCTTGTCTCGGAAATTCTTGATCCTACACACATTTCATTATTATGACCCTAATTTGTGCTTAATGCAGTGAGGTTCTTTCATAATTCATCCGACTTGTCCAACTTCTTGTCATGATAGAAACTATTTCGATACGCATTTGGTTTCATAATGACATAATCACAGGCGCACAACAGAAAAATGCCTCAATCAGTCACTATGAATAATACAGCTCGACACAAGTAGTATACAGTCTGTCCAAGATAAGGTTGAACAGCATGGGGATCTCGGAAACGGTAGGAGATACGAAGTCGCTTAAATGGGGAAAAAGTTGCGCATTCGGAGGCTCATATCAAGAGCCTTCGAAAATTTTGAAAATTATTTTTAGTTTTTGAGTTATATCGAAAAAAGTGAATTTTTGGAATTTCTATTTTATTTTTTTTCTCCGTTATTATCAGAGATACAGAAAAACTGAAAATACTTTTTCATTGCAACTTTTGATGAGGTTTAACGTGGTGATACCGATTTTTTTATGCGACGTTTCGTATTCGTGGAACCATCATCAACTTTTGTTTTTTAAATACGGTCCTGATAATTTTTTCACAGATTCTGAAAGGTTTTTTTATTCTGAATTCAACAATGTACTATACAAGGTGATTCGAATGTGTTTCGACCTATTTCTATCCATCATCAATGTTTTTTCGAACTTCCAAAAGAAAAAAAGCCATCAGTTCCACTTATTTCTTATCATTTAGTGTCAAACTTGATGGATTAGTTATTCAATACTGAAAAGTGAATAAAAAATATTTCACTACATCATTCGATCAATGCAGCGTTTAAAATTGTTGATGAATTCTTACACGAATTACTTCAACAACTTAACTTTGACAATACCTACAGAGACATTCATAACAAATGTTCAAAATGATAACCATTATTTTCTGAACAAAGATATCCTCTTCTCACAGTTGTTTCTAAGACATTGCTAAGCATTTCTGGGGTTATTCTATTGAATGCTTCGAAGACACTGTCCCTTAGTTCTTCTTCATCCTCAAAGTTATTTGCGTGTACAAAGTTCGATATATCCCCTAAGAAAAAATCCAGCTGTGTCAAATCAGGCGACCGCGCCGGCCAAGGGATAAAAACGCACGGACTTCTCTGGAATTATGTACCGGAGCGCCATCTTGTTGAAACCAACAGAGTTCAGAACTTCCGCAATCGGTAAATCATCCAGAGCTTCCTCAAGATGATTCTCAAGCGAATTTCTATAACGTTCGGAAGTCTGTGTTTCATGGTAAATAGAAGGAACAATAATTCGTGTACCAAATATTGCAACCCACATATTAAAGCCGAAACGGTGTTGGTGTCTCGCTGTAATGTATAAATGTTCATTTTCTCGTGAACAATAATGTGTATTTTTTCTATCGAAGCTACCATGATTAGTGGCCATGCTTTCATCAGTCCAGATGATTGTTCGAAAGAAATCTGCAAAATTTCAACATTTCCTGGTATACCACTCACAGAATGTCTTGCGACATATTCTGAATTTGTATGGATGGAATTTTTGTTTCCGCAAAATAAAATGGGTTGTTGATTGAAACCAGTTGATGAGGTATTAGTGTGTTGACTAATTTTCCTTCAAAATAAGTGGAACTGATGGCATTTTTCCTTTGGAGTTTTGAAAAAACATTGATGATGGCCAAAAATAGGTCGAAACACAAATGAACCACCTTGTATAATACATGGTTGAATTCAGAATAAAAAAACCTTTTAGAATCTGTGAAAAAATTATCAGGACCGTATTTAAAAAACAAAAGTTGATGATGGTTCCACGAATACGAAACGTCGCATGAAAAAATCGGTATCACCACGTTGACCGTCATCAAGAGTTGCTATGAAAAAGTATTCTCAGTTTTGCTGTATCTCTAATAATAACGGAGAAAAAAAATAAAATAGAAAGTCCAAAAATTCACTTTTCTCGATATAACTCAAAAACTAAAAATAATTTTCAAAATTTTCGAAGGCTCTTGATATGAGCCTCCGAATGCGCAACTTTTTCCCCATTTAACCGATTTCGTATCTCTTACCGTTTTCGAGATCCCCATGCTGTTCAACCTTATCTTGGACAGACTGTATAAACAAGCATGAGCTTTTCAAGGAACAATCCCAAAGATGAGTTAAATGGTTATAGACTTCTTGTTGTCATAATAGAAGCTATTACGATAGGCATTTGGGTTTCATAATGGCATAATCAAAGGCGCACAACCGAATAGGTACTCACTTTGAGACTAGCCTGCGCCACGGCCTTGATAATGAAATCGTTGACGCTCAACTTCACCCCGGCCTTCTCCAACCTCTTGTTGTACTTCTCGCGCACGGCCATCAACTTATCCACGTTGATCTCGGCCGTCAGATAATAGTGCGGAATGGTTTGCTTGGACTGTAGCAACCGCTTGGCGATGGTCGCTCGCATGCCGGTCACCGGCACGTCGACGTAGGCGGCGCCTGGGGCTGGGGCGGCGGGCGGCGAGTGGGCGGTGGGGGCAGCGGACGGAGGGGTTGCCCCTGCAGCTGGAAGATCGGACGAGGTAATGGAGCCGAATAGACCGGTGCCATTACCTGCCAGGAAATGTAATGGCTTTTTTCCACTCACATAACTAAATAGTATATTAGGTAACAAGTGTTATAAACGTCCTTTTAGTAACGAGTGTCTAGAAGACTTTATAAACGAGTTACATACTATGCTTTTTCTACGAACTCCGAAAATTACATTAACATACCTGCTATTCCTGCTTACCTACAAAATAATTCTAAAGGAATGGGAATTGAGAATATAATACATGCAACTGCATGCAACCAGCGAGACACGTATAAGTGATATTGGTTGTAGATGTGTCCAGTTCATTGCTTACTAACCTTTGTTTCACGTTTATTGTCATGCTTAGTGCATAATAAATAAATAGTTCTCAAATATGGATGCTTCATTTTTACACTTCTTGGAGATATGCAAATACGAAAACATTCTCTTTGATTTCACTTTTGTCTACATTTCGCATATATTTTAAATGAAGAATTCTGATACAAACGAATATTGTTTGATTAATTTTGATACAAAATTTGAAAATAACAGTTGACAGTTAATACAATTGACAGGCCAGACATGTCTCAAATTACTGAAGCTGTGTTTAATGAACTGTGTTGGCATGGTAATGTGTTCAAGAAATCGTGTTGCCATGGTAACGTGTTTAATATTTTGAATAAATTACAGATCGACAATCCGTGATTAATCGATCATTTAGCGTGGTACATATCCGTACGCTAAATGTCATTTCAGAAATGGCATTTAGCATACGGATATGTTGAAATGACATTTAGCATACGAATATGTACCACGCTAAATGATCGATTAATCACGGATTGTCGATCTGTGATTTATTCAAAATATTAAACACGTTACCAAGGCAACACGATTTCTTAAACACATTACCATGGCAACACAGTTCATTGAACACAGCTTCAGTATAATTTGAGACATGTCTGGCCTATCAATTGTAGGTACTTTCAACTGTCATTTCCAAATTTTGTATCAGAATTATTCAAACAATATTCGTTAGTTTCAGAAGTCTCCATTAAAAATATATGCAAAATGTAGACGAAAGTGAAATCGAAGAGAATGTTCTGGTACTTGCATACCTCCAAGAAGTGTAAAAATTAAGCATCCATCTTTGAGAACAATTTATTTATTCTGCGCTAAGCATGACAATAAACGTGAAACAAAGGTTAGTAGCAATGGACTGGACACATTTACAACCAATATCACTTATACGTGTCTCGCTGGTTGCATGCAGTTGCATGTATTATAATCTCAATTCCCATTCCTTTCGAATTATTTTGTAGGTTAGCAGGAATAGCAGGTATGTTAATTCAATTTTCGGAGTTCGTCGAAAAAGCATAGTATGTAACGCGTTTATAAACTCTTCTAGACACTCGTTTATTAAACACTCGTTACTAAAAGGACGTTTATAACACTTGTTATATAATATACTATTACCTACTATGATTATTCAGGATATTATGAAAAACCGTTTATTGTCCAAACAGGTGAGGCACCCAATTACAGGATACAAAACAATTACATTTCATATTCATACATTCATTCTTTTATGTTCGATTACTGAAGGATATATTTCTTGGGTAATTTTTAAGACAGCCTAATTTTGTTGAATAAAGATCGATTTTGTGGCAGACATTATTGAAATTGCTACACATTGTATAAACAAGAGATTGTGCCAGAGTGTTTGTTCTTGGTGTTCCGAGATAAAAACATAATTCGTTCCTGTTGCTCATACGAGGTACAAGAAAATTCAGCTGAGACAGAAGATCTGGGCAGTCGACAAGATCATGTGTCAACCATGTGTTAACCATCAAATTTTATTATCAAAACTGTACAACTATGGAGTTATGGGTTCAGCCATCGGTTGGATTTCTTCCTTCTTAGTTAACCGACTGCAATACGTCAACATACCAGGGCAAATCAATTCTGAAACTAAATTAGTGAATATAGGTGTTCCGCAAAGGTCTATACTGGGGCCAATTTTATTTCTGCTGTACACCATTTACACCAATGATCTTGAGGTGTACCTAACAGAGTCCTATGTAGCGATGTATGCTGATGACTTTGATACTATCGGATAAGGACGAAATCAAAACACATAAAAGAAGTGAACAAGTTTAGAAATCTATATATGAATGGTGTAGCTTGAATTATTTATATTTGAATGCCTCTAAAACACAAATCGTGAAATTCCACAACTTGCAAAAAACATGTCTACCATTGACCGTCCGCATCAACGATGTATCAATAAACAATACTAATGAAACAAAATTCCTGGGCCTGCTCATTGATGAAAATAACAACTGGAGAAACCATTGCGTAAGCAAGAGACTGAACTCTTTGTGTTATTTGTTCAGAAATCTCAAACAAGTCTTAGAGGAGCCTCGACTGTTATCGTTGTACCACTCTCAGGTAGCGTCAAGAATTATATATGGTATATGTTTGTGGGGCAATTCAGCTTCTATTCATGATATTTTCATTTTGCAAAAAAGAATATTGAGAGTAGTGGCAGGCGTTCCTTCGCCCAACTCTTGTAGAGAATTGTTTGTCAAATATAATGTTCTGACAATATTTTCTTTATATATTTATGAATTATGCAACTACATTTTTGAGAAAAAAACTAAATTTCCTCTGAATGAAAACATTCATAACGCGAATACACGACAGAAAAAAAAATTTCATATTCCACATTATAAATACAGGGTGTCACAAAACTCACCTGCATATATGGGTTTGATGATTTACAACAAATTGTCACAAGAAATAAAGAATACTAATGAAAGCAGGAAGTTTATCACAGCCCTTAAAAATTCCTTATTGAAAATTGCTTTTATTCATTGGATGCATATCTCAAGATGTGATTTAATAAACATATAGAACCCTATTATGTATAGTACTAATTAATATTGTTCTATTCTTGACCATCCATATACATATACATTTATGCTATGTAATTATATTGTGCCCTTGTCCTCTTATACTCTTTTTTGTATTTGTTGTTGTTATTTATGTATACAATACTGTGACGTATCCAATATCATATGAGTGATCGAAAGGAATTATTATTATTATAAATGAATACGCACGAGTAATAATTAATTCGGTCTTCCAGCGAGAGAAGTGAAAATCGATTCAATAATATAGAGTTATCTATACCTTGCTCAGGATATACCCCATCGATTTTGTAAACAAGGTACTTCATAAATGATCTCTGTACAGATTCGAGGTTTTGTTTATGAGTCGAATATACAAGGGACCAAACCAGTAACCGAGATCTCACGTAGGAGTTGTATAAATTTATGAAACTATCTTCATTTTCAAAATCTTTTCAATTTCGGAATATCATACCTAGCATTCTCTTTGCTGACGATATGATTTTGGTGATATGTGGTGTGAATTGAAGTTTAGAATCCAAATGAATACCGAGATCTTTTGTTAGTTCATTTTTTTCAAGATTTATGTTGTTATAATGTTCTATTTCCAGGAATATGTCGCTGAGTGACACTTTTCAATGTTGAGTGGTAGATTATTCGCAGTGCGCCAAGTAGCTATTTGGTTCATATCGTTTTGAAGCAGCTGGAAATCAGCTATTGAATCAATACACCGAAATAGTTTCAAATCATCAGCAAAAAGAAGCATTTCACTAGATATGTTATGGGTAATATCATTTATATAGAGGGAAAACAGCAATGGCGCTAAGTTACTCCCCTGCGGTGCCCCACTAGTAGCAGTGAATGAGTGTGAATTGTGTCCCTTATATTCAACGAATAAAGAGCGGCCTGTGAGATAAGAACGAAAAAAGTTCAACAAATCGTCATCGAATTCGAAATTTTGTAGTTTTAAAATCAGTATCGTGTGATCCATTTTGTCGAAGGCCTTCGAGAAATCTGTATATATCGTGTCGACTTGAGGCTGCGCGTCAATGGCATCGCAGGCCATTATCGAAGGTGATACCACGAATGATATTATCGGATAAAATTTGAGGGACGAGCTGTATTTGGGAACATTATTTTTCTCACTAATTTGATAAAAAGACACTAGCAAATTCCACAAGTCGAATCAATTCTACGTCCCTTTATTAAGATTGAGCAAATGTTTGGGAAGGTGATATGTGTGACACACATTTGAGTTGATTAGAAGCGAGGATACGTACGTACGTCTTATAATAAAATTTTCTAAAGGAATGAAGCATTACTTCTGTAAGTTGAACGACGATTGAATAGGTTACGTTTTGGTCTTCTAGAAGAATTATTGATAATTGATTTTATTATTACCTATATAATATATGAGATGGGTGAAAATAAACGAGATGGCGGACACTGGTAAATTCGACTAATTTTGACAGTTCAATATAAACAAGGTTTTATCGAGGACCATGCAGCTTCATCAGTTTAATACCGCATAATTAGCTAGAATTACGGAATGCTATTGGTTGAAACAGGGATCCATAAAGGCCGTAACATAAGGGAGAAAAGTTGAATATCAGAGTATGGAAAAAGAAGAAAATGTGATGACTTTTACATACTACCCATATACAGGGCGTTTCAAACATATTTACACCTATGCTTCAGTATCAGAAATATTCCCATAATACTTGATATTTTCTAAGTCTTCAAATTAAAAATAATTGAAGACATACGGACAAATCGAAACTAGCTGAACATATTCTGTAACTCATTTGCTTGCCAAAATCGTCATTTGCCACTGAGAAGACAATTTGTGAGGAAAATATTTACCATTTTTTATGTTGAAAGCGGGGACATATTCGTTCCCGAAACGTCCAATGATAAGTGAAAATTTGAAACTTTTTCTATATACCTGTATGTCTCATCTCCAATCCTTCTTTGATACAAACTGTAACTGACAACCAAGATAATTTTTCTTTGAGGCTCTCCGATAGAAAAATGTTCAAACGCAGTGACATTTTGGGGCAAATTATCTGATAGGTCCTCACTACATGTATATGAAAATAATACTCATATTCTTATTTTAAAGAAACGAGAAGAGAAAATCCCAAAAAGTCCGGAATAATGAATTAACGACGCACTTTTGAAAGAATTTAATGAACTGATTGAATGTGCTAAATCGCAGAGTTCTTCAATGGACAGTTTATGAAATGCACGGCGTTTCAAGTTGCAAATCTGTAAATATTTTCTCGGGATTTGAAGGTGCCACGTGCATTTTTTCTCGCTCATATTAATGAACAGGGTGTCTCCTTTTATTTTGACCCCAACCTACATCTTCAACTATATGAGGTGTAAAAAACTTCTAATACAAGTTGTAGGGTTTCATCAGTACAATCTTTTTACACTTCTTAAACAAACAAATGCGTATGGCAAAATGGAAAAGAGTCCAAATCAGTTTTTTTATGAAACACCCTGTTAATTTCGAATTGTTGTCAAAGATCTTTTTCTTATGTTCACAAATATACAGTGTGGCCCACTTAAAAGCCGTACACCTCAATAAAATTTGCATTAATCAACCGATTTTGACAAACTTTCTTTTGAATTGTAGAGTTCGAAAAACTGTACTCTAGGACGAAACATATTTATATTTCTATGATATCCAAAGCCTACTGCGTTTATTTTTAGAGTAAAAAAAGTCAAGATATCGTATTAGCGATTTTTTTACGAAAATTTTTAAATCACAATTGGATTTAGCACCCCCTCAAATGGTTGTATACCATATAATTTTGTGGCCAAATCAAAAATCGAGTTTGTATTATAAGTTGATTCGAGTATATGATGAAATGAAAAGTGAAATAAATAAAAAGTAATCACTGATGATTGTGTGGCAAATGAGAGAAATGAATGAACCATATTTATTCTGATCAAGTAACCCATGGAAAGAATGAAACAATTAAAAACAATAACTATTATAGCTAGAGATACGAATAAACGTTCATCAAATTCTTGTTGTTTCAACCAATCCGCCATTCAGTACAATGCATTTATCATATCTTATTCTTATGTTCAATATAAATTTTCTCAGTTGTTCTGGCGTGATCTCTGCACAAGCAGCAGTTTTTCTGATACGAAGTTCTTCTACTGACTGCGGTCTAGACTTATAAACTTTTTGTTTCACAATACCCCCAAAGGAAAAAATCCAGTGATGTCAGGTCCGGGGATCTTGGCGGCCAGTGAATGAAAGGACTATTCCGTCCAATCCACTGATTTCTGTAATTATCATTCAGCCATTCTCTCACCAAGGAGAGCCATCTGATTGAAATTTCAAATTCAGGCGATCATTTACTGGTAAATTATGTATTGCATCCCAGAACTCATTGCTTAAAAAGTCCAAAAATATATTTACATTCAGATTATCTTCAAAGAAAGAAGGGCCGATAATCTTATCATGGAGTATTCCACACCACACATTTATTTTATAAGAATACTGCCTTTTTGATTTGATTACCCAATTAGGATTATCTGTAGACCAGTACCTTGAATTTTGGGACGACACAACTGCGATTGTAGTGAACGTAGCTTCGTCACTGAACAAAATTTCGTTCAAGAAGTTATTGACATTCAGATATTCTCCCTGAGCCCAAAAACAGAATTCTAATCTTCGTTCTTCCTCCCAGTTCCTCACAAGGCATCTCCTGACATTTTCTCTAGGAATATGTAAGTCCAGACTAGCCATTCGCAAGCCTGAATGAGGATTATTCCGAAAATATTGCAATACTCGCGCATCATTCCTATACTCAGGACGTGGATTATTTCTGTTTTTGAGCATATGCCTCGATGCACTACCTGTTTCATTGAAAACATCATTAATATGACCAACAGTACTGCTACTCACTGGAAGTTTATCAGGATGTCTGTTATGAAATTCTCTGGCAGCTTCTCTTGCTGAAAGAGCATTATCTCCGACAAGACGCACAATTTCAATTTTATCTCTTACACTTAGTTCTCCCATAATAATTAATCACTGAATTTTACAAAATATCCCTCTAAATAATCGGGCAAAATCTGACGCTAAAAATCAACAATCCTCTTTTGTTTCTCGCGCCCAGTCAGGAGCACGCGATTTCGCATATCCGCGCGGCTATTACATAGCCAACTCACCAAGATTTGATAACCAAGGGGAGTATGCAGTGAATACCTACATGTGCAATGTGAATTTTGATTTGGCCACAAAATTATACATGGTATACAACCATTTGAGGGGGTGCTGAATCCAATGATGATATTAAATTTTTAGTAAAAAAATCGCTAATACGATTTCTTGATATTTCCTCTAAAAATAAACGCAATAGGCCTTGGATTTTGTAGAAATATAAATATCTTTCGTCCTGAAGTGCAGTTTTTCGAACTCTACAATTCAAAAAAAAGTTCGAAATCGGTGGATAAATACAAATTTTATTGAGGTGTCCCGCTTTCCAGTAGGTCACACTGTATAAAAAAATAATCAACGAAATCCCACAATAAGAAGTTCTCAAACCCACCTTGTAGCCTGATATTCCTCTGCTCCGCCAGCCTCTTGGCCATCGGACTGGCGTACACCCGGCCGCCCGTCGCCGGCGCCGGTACCGGGGGCGACGACGAGGGGGCCGCCGGGGCGGGCGCAGCCGGGGCGGGCGTGGGAGCGGCGGGAGCCTTGGGGGCGGGCGGGGCGGCCGCCGGACCGTCGTCCTTGAAGTCCTTGAAGGCGGCTATGTCGGATTCGTTTTCGACTATGATGCATACCAGTTTACCTGCAAGAAACAAACGAACGGATTACGAATAAATGGATCTGATAGAGATCTAGAAGATGAATAAATGTTGCGCCAATGGGGAAGTTTCCAGCGTACATATACAGGGTGTTGCGAAATTCGACCGACAACGCTTGACAGGTGATAGCCCTCGTGATTTCATAATCACTGAGATAGGGACTTACGGTCTTCAAGTGTTCAGTTCTCGAGATACAGGGCGTTGAAGTTAAGAAATAAAAATAGTTGTTTCGCAATATCTCAAGAAAAATTGAATAAAATGCATTCAACTTCGGTATATGGTTTCATCTTTGAATTGGTCATTTTTTGACCAGGAAGCCATTCCGGACATTTTATTTAGTGGTGCCCTACAGGGGGGTGTGGCAACTTTTCCTCCCATATTTTCTACGCCACTGATGAAATTTCGATTATTTCCAATTCCTCGAATTGATTCTTCAATTTCAACATATAACATTTGGTTATCAGATGATGATCGAAATTTGCAACCGGGTCTTCTACTAATACATTACACAAGTAGGTGCAAAGGTTGAAAATCCTTTGATCTCTAAAAATGACCGCCAATGACCTTTAGCCACCTAATATGAATTCTAAAGTGGCGCCCCCGCTATCATTCTATTCCTGGAAATCAATGCTACCAGGTGGCGCTCGGTTTTCATCGTTCCATGTCAAAGCCACGTCAAAACTGGGAGAAAACACACTCAATCCCATTAGTGCCATTAGCTCGTGTACTGTGTACTGATAAGAGTGATAAGTTTTTGAATTTCTTGACATTCATTGTCAATATTCGATCGAAAACGCTAATAATGCCTGTTGTAGATGTTCTTTTGGCAGATATTTTGCTCTATGCAGATGGAAAAAGCCGACCAGTAGTGGAAGGAGAAGCAGTTCTCCGTGCTTATCATGTGATTTTGTGTGAGGCACAAGACTTCAACAAAAGGCACATTTTTGCACTTTGTCTACAAACTTCGGCGATGAAATCTTCCCCACATGAAGTAAAATTGAAGTTGGGGTCCAGAGGAACTCCTGTAGAACAATGGATTTGTATTTGTTCCTGCAAAGCAGGACAATCTGGGTATTGTTGGGCTAGCTTTGGATCTTTTGGAAAAAAATGCATACACACACTTTCCGAAATATAATTATTGCACTGAGCAGTACTTTTTTGATTTGCTCGTCATAATTAGTTTGAATTGTTTGAACTATCTCCAATTCTTCACCCGTTCACTGTTCACTAAACTGATAAAAATGTAATAATGTAAAAAAATTAACCAACTCAATTATCATCACTACCAACAGTGCCAACACTTTATGTCATTGACAAGTTTGACAACTACAGCTACAGCAAACTGTTTGCAATGTAGTCTATGCACTTTATCCATAGACAACAGTTTGTTTTCCCCCAGTTTGAAGTTCGTATTATGTAACCTAGATGTCGCCCAATTCGTGAATTTCGCGAATATTCTACGTTAAAATGTATTCAAAATGTACTAGATCATGTGTTTCTCTGATTTTATTCATGATCGTACCTCGTTTTTTTACTGTAGCAGTAGAGCTTGTCGTGTTTTTCAGAATATTGTGGAAATCGTACTGCTTGTGAAGTTTTTTTTCGTTTACTATGGATTGCCATCAAATAACGGCTCATGGAAAAGGTTCACGGTACATTTTCAAAAATTTCACGAATATTATCAAATATGATTTTTTCGGTGACGGGAAAAGTTTGAAATTTCATCCCTGTTGACAGGTTATAAAATGTCACTTTTCATAAATTACTTTTTCCCACGGGAAAAAAGTGAGTATGTGTGATATATATCATATACATATCCACTGTTGAGCTTTTGTTGTGCTATAGTTCCGAAATATAAGCCAATAACATCATCTCCGAGAAAGAACTGCGAGTCCTTTTATCTTCCATTCGACTTCGCGGTTACGTAGATTACTAAACAACTACTAATGACGCAATTTTTTGAAATTGAATCACAGAATTAGACTGACAGATGTCTGATTACTTAAAATGAATGATAAGGATGCCTGCAACGCAGGTGTTTTACGTCGTTTATTTTCTGATTTCATATCGATATCGATTCGTTCTTTTTCCTGTCACTGTAAAAACAGATACAGGGTGATCAGAATTCTGAATCTTGAAGCACCCTGTATTTTCTCCAATTAAATTCCAGTAGATAGTGAATCAAAAGTTAAGATAGGGACATGTAAGCCGTTTCGATCAATAATGAATAGTTTCGACACAAACAATCCTAAACTTGAAAAATTTAGATTTTGAATCTCTGTAATCATATCTGCTAGACCCCAAGTGTGATACATTGATGAAATCAGCTCCTCAGGAAGAATCTGAAAATGCAATAAAATACAGGGTGTTCTATTTGAAATAACAAAGTTGCTAGTTGTTTCTTTGTGGCAACACTGTATCGATGAAAACATTTTAGACGAATAGAGAATGTTCAATTATCAAAGCATCCCAATTTTCAGAATGTTCTGTCTTTTCGTTCTCCAGATACTTCTAATAGGCCATCCACCGTGCCCACCCTGTATATGTTTTGTGGTGTTCTCACAAATAATCTTCGAAAAAAAACAAATTAGTCCTTATAGGTGGAATTATTATAAAGTAGAAAATTATGTTTGGAAGATTAGGAGAGCGAGAAGGAGATGCCGAATGTGTGCAAATTTGATCGAAATCGGTCGAGTGGTATGGAAGTTATGATGAGAAATCCAATTTTGCCCAAACTATGACAGCCTATATGTTTGTTAGGATGCATTTTCAACCAAAATGTTTTCATGAAAGTCTACTACTATTTCGTTGTTCTATCGCCTATCGAAATTAATGAGGTTTAACCTGGACCATCATGCTTACTCACTCACATATAACTACTCAATACTTTTGGAGTGGGGAGATGAAAATAAATGTAACATTTCATAACTCTCATTTAAATGAGTTGAATGGATAAAAATCGATTCATGAATTCATCTTTTTTTTTCAATGAAATTCTTTTCATCAATCTTTGATTGTTTTGACATTTTTGTTAGCGAATTTGGCATCTACAGCAGAATTTCACTATGAATCATTTTATAGTATCGAGAAGAATTATTTCAAGACTCGTCTGAATGATTAATAGATTTGAACAATAATGTAAGTGACCTTATATAAGCAATCGATATCAAAACTTCTCTATCTCTATACTAAACTCAAGAATTATAGGACCAGGTTATTATTTATCATGAGTGTTACGCTGTACTAACCTAATAAGATTTCGAGGGAATTGTAAAAAAAATTTACTCCAACGGACAGGTTGTTGGAATAACAACTCTCCCAACCATTTAGCATAGCAATTATAAAGAATCCAAACACCAAACATAAAACCAAATAAACTATCCAAAAATGAAAATACTACACAACAGAAATAATAACGTCAACGCTACTGCTAATCACGAAGAAGAGACCTGTTGACAACATCATAAAAAATGTAATACTTAGTTTGAAATGAATCAATAATTTCAAAGAATATTAAACCGCACTCAATACATCGTAGAAAATGCATCTTTTGCCGAAAGACAATTCATAAAAAAGTTACCAATAAAATAACCATTTTGGCAACATCGAGTCGTCTTCGACGTTCGAGCGTGCTGACATCTATCTATAGAGGAGGCGCCACCTTGCTAATTACAGATTTTTTTCGTCCAAATCAGTCTTTGAGCCTACTTGTCTAATGTATGTACGGTGAAGTTTCCTTAAAAATATTCATCATCCAATGAGTCATGTCTACATTTTTTTGTATGCAACATAATTTTATAAATAACTTAGAATATACAATAAACCATATCCAATTGATAAATCAACTATCATACAACATATTCCTTATAAAATAAAACATTTCAAAACATTTTCTTATTATTAGTAATATTCTAATCAGTTACAAATCGGCTAGGTTACCGTTAACAGAACAAGGGTTCATAATGGGCGGATTTGCGAATTGAAGTATTCATTGAGTTTCGCTTTGAATAATGACTAACTCTCTTTATTTTTCATTTCAATAGGTAGGTTGTTATATTCTTTTAATGCTTTAGAAATTGGGTTGTTCAATGCTACTGTAATTCTAATTTGTTGTAAGTCAATTTGGTTTTGTGCTCTTGTCTCATAAAGATGTATTTGGTTCACTAGGGTTAATTCTAATATTGTGGTTATAAGATATCGAAAAATCGACAAAAAGTATGCATTATAGATCATGCTTCTATTCTGCTTGTTCAGATACTCCTGACATCGGTACAGTGCCCCCATCATAGGAACAAGTTTATTTATTTTGTGCCCTGTATGTTTTCGCTTGTTCAAATTATCATCATGCACTAGTCCAAAGTATTTCGTATGTTCCACATTTTCTTTTGAATAATTTTCAACTCAATGGGCTTATATCACAAAAAAATTTTATTCCATTATTCGATAGAACTCACCGAAACTAGCTCACCACCGCAAACCGTTTCTTGCTGTGAGCTCCCTACGTTTTATAAGAAATTATTGAAATCCCCGATTTTTCGGACCTCTGAAAACGAGGCGATGATGTGACGTCAAAACCCTATTACTGAAACAAGACTATTCCATACAGAGATGAATGATCATGATTTCTGACAGAGTGAATTAGCGCGAGATCACAGTTGAAAGAATTAGTATATCAGTTGCCTCAGTCTCCGTCTGGCTTTTGTTACTTTCTTTTAACTATGGAGAGATGAGGTTTCTACGTCATAAGAGAGGGTCCGTTTTCAGATGGTACTATCATTTATGTCCAAAAATAAAACATTCTAGTTAATTTTTCGATCGAATTATGTCGTCAATCATTATTTATGTATAAAAGGATCATTATAAACATAGTTTGAGTTGAAAGTTCTACCAAGGTGTACACGCCCATTCAGAACATTTTTTGTTTTTGGTTTTGAGTAATATATAATGAGTTTTCTTGATGTATAATTTTAATTTGTTCTGCGTT